TTATATAAACTATAAAACTGTTCTATAAATACATGAATATTTATTTCAAAAAAATCTAAATATATTTTCTAAAATAATTTTTATTAACATATTAAACATGATCATATTCAATAAATTTTGATAATAAAATATTCTATTATTCTTTATTAAATGTATTATTTTTTAAATATTAGAATATATTATCATTTTCATAGTAATTCAGTATAAAAATATTGTATAATAATATTGATTTAGTTTTTATTATTAGTTTTTATTAATTCACTGAAGTCCTACATTGAATTTATTGATTTAATAATAAAAAATGCAATTACTTGGGAGTCATACGCAAAATATAACATTAATATAAAAATGATATTCAGAATAAATATATTAATAAAATTATATTATTTTTTAAGTAAATACAATAATTAGCTTAATCATTATTATTGAATGACATTTAAAGTAGATTTACTTAATGTGATTTTACTGTTACAGTACTAACAAGTAAAATGAGTGACACTTTTTTGGTGTTTAATCAAAATGAACACCTTTTATATAAAGTAATAATTGTATGTCATTTAATAAATATCACTAAATATGTTATTATTTTATCACTCAATTTGTCGTTTGAAAAGCGATTGCTTTTATTTGATTGGAGTTTATTCATCGGTGGTATTCAAAGTTATACCATTATAGCCACAAATTTAGCATTTATCTCGGACATTTTGAACAGATTTTTATTTAATTTTATAAAAACATCAAATGACAAATTGTTTTATTGGTTAAAACTATTTGATATAATATATGGGAAAGCAAACATCAAACAAATAAATATTAATAAAAAACAAATGTTTATTATTAATAAACTTTATATACGTTTAAAATTAATGAATATTTTTATGAAATATTCACTTATACTTTGCTGTAAGTATTCAATGTTTTAATTTATAACACTATCTATTAATTATAATATAATTATGTTTTCAGATATTTTGTTCGCGATGACATTTATATTAATTATCTGTACATTTTACACGTTATATCAATTCATATGTGCTGTCACATTTATTATTCTAATATTTTTAAGTTTTTGTTTTGCTGTTAAAACCCTTTTCAATACAGTTGTAAACTTCTATATTATTTGCTATTACATTCAATTGAGAATTAATTTATTAAATCAAAATATAAATCATTCATTAAATAATCAAAATTTACAGATTATTACGATATTAAGGGAACACAATATAATATGCCAACAGATTATCAATTTAAATAGGTTTTGGGGAAAATACTACTTTTGTTTAATACTAACATTGATGCCATTTAATTTGGTTTTGTTTATCAGTGTGTTATTTACTGAATTGCACCTGGTTGCTTTATTCCTGTACAGCGCTGCCGTTTTCTACTCCTGGATATTTATATTTTTTATATCGTTTTGTGCGTCTCAGGTGTCAAAAGGCATACATTTATCACATAATAGACTATTTTTATTGCAATTCAATATGAAATATAATATTAGTTTTAAGTTAAAACTAATGGATTTTATTGAGAAATTAATGTCAAAACAACTGATTTTTGGCTTTTCTTTGGGACCACTATTTGTGATGACTTTTCAAAAGTATTGTTTTGTAAGTGATTTTATCCAATAATTAATATTATTATATTTAATATTTTGTGTTATATTTTTTACAGTTAACAGTAATGTATGCCCGATATTTTATCTTAACTACAAAGTTAACAGATTATTTTTAAATTCTATAATATTTACAACTCATATTTTAATATAATAAAGTCTAATTGTATACAGTTAATAAGTAATTTTTTTAATTCCATTATGTTTGAAAATAATCTTAATAAATCAATAAATTCCAAAAATATAATAATATTCATTATATCGATATTTATAATTTTATATTCACCTTAAACTTACACAATGCTTTAATGTTAATAATATGTTAATGTTTTGTGAATGTTAATAACAATTATAAACTGTAATCACGATATACAGTACCATATGTAGTGGACGTGATAAACATCATTTCTTAATGAAATGCTACAGAATTTTCTCATTTTTATAATATGATTTATCACTTAAATATGCCAACTTAATTATTTAGCTTTATTAATACAATAAGTCTTGTGAATTATAAGTTATAAAATATATTACAGTAATAATTCATAACTGCTAGAAAACTCCACGAGATTTCATATACAGTATACTGTACTCAATGAACTAATAATTGCTTTCTATAAAATTTTCTTACTAAAACATTTATATTATTATTTTCAGATAATTTATGAATTATATTTATAATGTATTACATTGATTAGGTAAACATCTACTTTTTTAATAACACACTCTAATGCTAATATTAAGCATGTGACAGAAAATAATGACAATACTTTGCGAATAAGTATTAGTAATTGACATAAATGCAACTGGGTCGAATCAGAATTCATAGTAATTAACTGCAAGTTATATACGTTTGAATTAAGATCAACATTAAATAATTTTAAATATAGCAGCCACGTCCAATGCTCCATTAAACCAGATTGAATTATATGAAATAAACTATAAATAACAATAAATATTATATTTATATTTAAAATTTTTAAATATATTTATATTTATGAAATCTATTTACAATTTGTTTAATTTTTGTGTATATTTTGAATGCTTTTGTAAAGCAATTGAATTCAAATTAATGGAAAACGAGGTATCAATTGATTGTTCAGGTATTGTATGCATACGAATGCGATTGTAATGCATAAAGAATAGCAGGTTACTTCTCGGGGCTATCATTGAATATATAGTACCAGGATCATCCAATTTTCTCATCGCACGTCTAATATATTCATGTTTTAAATATTTCCCAATTTTTGTATAATATTCTGAACTCTTGTCCGACTTTATAATATAATCGTTAAACTATTTGGCAATAAATAAAATCTAGATAAATAATAACTTACCTTAAATAATATGTGGTATCTATTTAAGTTTTGTGATAATGTCTGTAAATACCCGGATTCCTGTGCATTAGCCAGGTCTTCAATGGTACTAATCCTTTGCTTACTATTAGAGGCTATGTATGAATAAACACATCCCGCATAACATGTACTCAATACCACACAACCCAATAGTAAACTCATTAATACTATTTGTATTACAAATTTATCGATATTTAAATTTTGTTTTGCTTACTATTAGAGGCTATGTATGAATAAACACATCCCGCATAACATGTACTCAATACAACACAACCCAATAGTAAACTCATTAATACTATTTTTATCACAAATTTATCGATATTTAAATTTTGAATACTTTGTCGAAAAAATATGGAAACAATTCTCCAAATACTGTCCATTGAAGACATATTTTTGTTACTAACCCTTAGTAGTGTTGATGTGATTGCAATCATAACTAAACCCCAAATCCAGACATTGGTATCAAATGGTTTGAATAGACTTAAGAAATGAAATAATTTAGGCGTTGGAGACGTGAATGTAATGTCGTCTATGATGTGAGGGTATGTCAGGTCCACCGCCTCTCGTCTATCTATTGTAAGTGCTATCTGTCCGATGCCTATATCAGCTAACTGTTCAAGTAATATAAATGTGAAACATATAAATGTAAATTATATTTTCAATGGAATGAACATAACTAAAGTAAACTTACTTTTGATTGTAGTAAGCCAATAATGCCAGTGAAAGTACCATTGTCCATTTTCTCACCCCACGTATTATTAGTGTCGATCACATTATAAGTAAAATTCCATTTCTCTCTCAATGTGTCCAACAATTGACTTTCAATTCCATATATTATATGTTTTCTATCACTTCCCGGCTTATATCCAAGGAATATGAATGGTCTGGACTATATTCAACAGTATTTTAATAAAATTCTACAAACATTATTAAAACAGTCTTACCAGAGTTGTAGCAATAGTCAGATTTTGTTGATTTAGATTATACATTAGATCATTTAAATAATGTTTTTATTAATACGAGTGACCTAGTTACACTAATTCTTTAAATGATGTGTTTATTTTGATGTTTAATCTAATTTAAAAATTCAATGATTATTTTCATAACAAAGTTAATTAATTTATTAAAGAATTAATTTTCCTATTCATTTATAATGACATTCAGTTAATTGAATTGCAATCAAATGATTAATGATTTGAGTAAAATAAAAATTTCCAAATTGCATTTTATTTTACTTTTACATACGTTATTATTTATTAATTACATATGATAACATTTATTTATTGTACTATTAATTATTAATAATTTTTATTTTTAAACTTGTTTAAATGACAATTAATTTATCAAAAATAATATTTATTTATAATTTTATTAATAGTTAATTAGTTATTATAAAAACAATATTATTTTGATAGTTTAAATTGTGTTCATACAGTATTTTATAATAGCATATCAAAACGTATTACAATATTTTCACATACTATTTTAATTATTGCGCTTATTAATAAAGTTAATTTTTCAATTCATACGATGTGTTTAAATATCAATTCACTAATTAGGATAACTATTGCAACACAATATAAAACTAAGATTTTTTGCATAAGTATTTGCAGTTCATTTAAAGACAATTGCAAAGATTCAACTGATATCATATTCGTATTGAACATATAACAGTTAATGTCCTTGTTAAATAATTGTATGTATAGTAACCATTTCCAATGGTCTATTAAACCAGCTTTTAATATGTCCAAAATACTTTAAATAAACAAAAATTATGAGATTTCCATATTAAAAATAAATTTTATAAATTATTTACAAATTGTTTAAGTGTTGAGTATATTTTGATTGTTTGTGTAAAGCCATTGTAATCATTTCCAATGCAAATGATGTATCGATTGAATGATCAGGGACAGTATGCCTACTAATGTGATACAAATGCATAAAAAAGGTTAACACGCGTCTGGAGGATATGGCTGAATAAATAGTATCAGTGTCATTCAATTTCTCATAGACTTTTTTGGAATCAAAGTGCTTTAAATATTTGCCAATTCTTGTGTGATATTCAGATGTCTTATTCTGTTTGACATTAAATATTCAAATTATTAAAGAGGAAAAGCAGTATTCATTCATACTTTAAATAACCGATGGTTTCGAGGTATATCTGTTGACAATATCTGCAAATACCCGGACTCCTGTGCATTAGCCAAGTCCTCAATTGTCTGAATCTTATGTTCACTATTGGAGGCAATGATTGAATAAACACATCCCGCATAACATGTACTCAACACCATACAAACCAATAATAAACTCATTAACACAACCCGGATCATATATCTTTTACATTTAAAGTTTTCAACACTTTGTCGAAAAAATATGGACACAATTTTCCAAATACTGTCCATTGAAGACATCCTTCTGTTACTAATCCTTAGTAGTGTTGATGTGATTGCAATCATAACTAAACTGCAAATCCAGACATTGGTATCAAATGGTTTGAATAGACTTGTTGTTTGGTATAGTTTAGGTGGGGGTGACGTGAATGTAATGTCGTCTATTATGTAAGGGTAAGTCAGGTCTACCGCCTCTCGTCTATCATAATTAAGCTCTATTTCTCCGATACCTATATCTGCCAACTGTCCATATTTTATATAATTAAAATGTAACACAAAAATAATTAGTTGAGGTCTGGACTATTATAATATCATTAGAGTATAGGAAGGTATATGACGAAAATATGTACTTGCCCCTGATTCAATTAAATTGATAATACTATTGTTTGTAAATAATCCATTTGGTAGCTTATGACCCCAGGAACCATTTGTATTTATAATATTATACGTGAAATTCCAGTGGGATTGCAATGTTTTTAATAATTGAGTCTCGATTCCGTACATTATTTCCATAGTCTTACTACCTGGCTTATATCCCAAAAATATAAGGGGACGTGCCTATATGATAAACAATTAAATTAAGCATTAAAATAATAAATGAATTTAATAAACCTAAAAAAGTCTACCCAAGTTGTAGCAATAATTATATTTTGGCCATTAAGGTTAAGCATAATAAAGAATACAGGTTCTTATATAATTTTATAAATATGAACTATATTAGCTACAATTGTTATCTAGAAAAGGAATAAAACTAATTATATTTTGGTTTAAAAGATGTATAAGTGTTTTACAATTTTTAATTTTACTTATTAAAATATTTCCATTTAAATTCTTAAAATGATTCTAGTATAATAGGATAAAACAGTATTTACATTATAACATAAAATTTTATGATACTTTATTTTTTTATTTGTAATTATACATTTATAATGTAACGTTATTAATAAATAGCTAACACAAATATATTTTCTATTATTCGTAAAATTTAATAAACATTTTCAATGTTTCTTTATAAATCAATATTTAATAAATGATAATTAAAATTTAATTAATCAGTTTTATATTTGAATGAAATATAACATTAAATGTCAAGATCACTTTTAACATTTACAATATGTATTTTAAAACTTTAGTAATAATCAACTCTATAAAGTTATGGCATAACTAGTACTACAAAATAAACACAATATAAAACAAATAATTTTAATCAAAAATTTTATTATGTTATTCACGATAAAATTAATTTATTTTTTAAATAATTATTAAATTTACCTTTCCATTTATAATGACATTTATTTAATTTTATGATTGAATTGCATTCAAATGATTAATTTAAAGGAAATAAATTTCATTCAATTGTTTACTATATGCTAAATTTAATTATATATTAGATGAATTTATTTTGCAAATACAGCGCTGGGCGCCAGAGACAGTACTAGTTTAATTTTGGAGCCAGTACACTCAAACCTTTGTTAGAAATGAATTGCATCTAAAATTGTAATAGATTAATTAATTGATTAGTATGCTATAAAGTCGTTTTCACGTATAAATCTGTAAATATTAGGGATATAAACAAGTTTGACACATTGAACTGTCAAAGATAATAATGTTCCAATGCTAGGGTTCATAGGTTAATCAGGGATTACTTTTGGTCAGAAAAATAATATTTACAGATTTATACGTGAAAATTACTTTATAGCACACTAATCACTTAATTAATCTATTACAATTTTAGATGCAATTCATTTCTAACAAAGGCTTGAGTGTACTGGCTCCAAAATTAAACTAGTACTGTCTCTGGCGCACATCCCTGTACAACAAATAACATTTATTTACTTGTTTGTTATATTTAATAAATGGTAATATATTTCTTTCTAAACAATGTATTATCATAAAATAAAAACACGCTAGTAAATTTAGTAAAATGTTTTATAAAACTACTTGTTAAAATAAATGTATTTTATTCTACAGTAGATTCTATATTATTTTGATAACCAGATTATTTTTGGTAATATATTATGATGACATTTGCTATGTTCAAACTTTTTGCTATTTGAAATCAGAGTCCAATAAATATAACATGTGATCATTTTCAATGAATTTCATGTATTAGTAAGACATACAGTATCATATTTTGTAATATAAAAGTTGCTGATAATACAGTATAATACTTAGTGTTTATTTTCATTTAAGCCTTATTACACTTTTAATGATAAAACCTGAAATACTTTAATATTTTAAATCTATTGGTTTTAATAATTTCATTAAATTATTTTTAAATAAAACTTATTTATACTATAAAATTCAACACTAATTTTATGGACTAATGTCTGGCTTTGATAGGAGTCGAGTGGTCGGTGTATCCGATGAGGAATTGGATGAATATACGTGTGGTATATGTCTGGAGGTGTTTGTCAACCCAGTGGTCACCCAATGCTGTCAACAAACCTATTGTCATGAATGCATCCATAATTGGCTCTCAGAAAACAACACCTGTCCTAATGATCGCAAAAAATTGAGACCACGAGGTGTGAGTCCTGCGCCCAGAGTTTTGGTCAACTTATTGAACAAAATGAAAGTTAAATGCGATTTCTATGCCAATGGCTGCGAATCAGTGGTGAAAATGCATGAATTGTCACAACATATAGAGTATTGCGATTATAACGCAAACCGAAAGTGTAAGACCTGTCACCTGGCTATTGATGGCAATACTCAACACAACTGTATCGACAATCTATTGATTCAAAACCAAAGCCTTCGTAATGATAACCAGAGACTTAAAGCCAAGAATAATAAACTGGTGGGTATTACATACAACTTTATAAGTATCATAAAATATCTAAATATCAAGTAATTTTGGATTATTTTAATTGTTTTATATTTCTATTTTATACCTGTAGAGTATGAAGGGTGTGATTTCATTAGCTCGTAAGGACCTGGATAATTATGAAGTGCGATCAAAATCACGAATGTCATCGTCTGAAGTGAACAAATGTATTGAGAGGTCCCAGGAAATGATCAGTTTGTATGACAACTATTTGGATATATCTACCCATATATACAATGAATTTAATGACGAATATGATGACAAACAATGGCATTGTATGGCATTCTCAAGCACTGGCGGTCAGTCTATGGTATCAGCCAGGCAATATTGTCAGCTATTATTTAGTGGTGTACTTCACATCGAGATATTTACTGTAAAATAATACGTCTTTTACAAAACCCATATGAAAACACTTATTTTGATTTATTTGTTAGCATTATTAAATTGTCTTAACAATAATCTATATTAAACAGTAAATAAAACAATAATTTCTATATTCATATTCTTGAACTAATTGAGTATTATAATTATAATTGACGTAAGAAATTGTAAAATTATTTTCCAGTCATATAAATATTTAAATACTTAAATTAAAGTTTTGTTAACTGTTGTCAATAAGAAATGATTGAATTATGTTTATGTAAAATATAAGTATTCACGATTGAGTTTCACTTATAATTTAATTAATATTTATTATAAATTATAATTATACTCGCACCGGATTGAAGTACACTAATAATACTGCCATTTGGAAATGTACCATTTGCCATTTTATTACCCCACGAACCTCTCGTGTCAATAATGTGCTAGGTGAACTTCCAGTGGGATTGCAATGTATTTAATAATTGTGCCTTAATGCCTATTATTTTGTTTTTGTATATGGTTTATTTATTATTAAAATTAATTTTTTATTAAACATTATTTTAATATTGAATTTTGTTTTTCATTTAATACAATATATTTTAAAACAGAAATGTACTATTGTATTTTACATTATGAATACCGGTAATATATAATTCGTATTAATATAATTATATATTAAGAATATTGTTAAAATTATTTATAATTATTTTATTTAACTAGATTCATTGGATATAAAACATGAATATGGTGAAAATATTTTTTAGGATTCCTATCATGTATCTTATAAGTTATTAATAAATGATATTATTTTAAGATTGTATAAGTTTATTATATAGTATATTTAGAATGCAATTTTCATTATAAGTCATTTTATATAAACTATCTATTTCAAATGATAATCTAATGTTTATATTTTAAAACTAATAATTTATTAGTCATAATAAAAATGCACATTTATTTCATAGTTGTCATTATACATTTTAATATGAAATTCATTTTAAATGAATAAAAATATTCATATTAAATATATTTTTTATTCCTACTGTGAGAATAAATTGAATATTTTAAATTTTTAGATAAACAATTTTTAAAATAAAATAGTATAGAATAATGAATCTTTCATATAAACTCTCATTCAATTGAACACAAACTTAGATATCGCTTACAAACTAAAATATTTTGTTGAGAAATGCCTGGTTTTCAAAGGAGTCGAGTGATCGGTGTATGCGATGAGGAATTGGATGAATTCATATGTGGTATATGTCTGGAGGTGTTTGTCGATCCAGTGGTCACCCAATGCTGTCAACAATCCTATTGTAGTGAATGTATCCATAATTGGCTCTCAGATAACAATACCTGTCCTAATGATCGCAAAGAGTTGAGTCGTGAAGGCATAGGGCCGGCGCCCAGACTTGTCTACAACTTATTGAACAAAATGCAAGTTAAATGCGATTTCTATGCCATGGGCTGCGAATCAGTGGTGAAAATGTGTGAATTGTCACAACATATCATTTATTGCGATCACAACGCAAACCGAAAGTGTAAGTCATGTGAACTGGACGTCGATGGCAATGGTGACCACAAATGTATTGAGAGTCTATTGATTATGAATAAAAACTTTTGTGAAGAAATTAAAATATTGAAAGCTGATAAGCAAAATTTGTTACTGGTCAGTATTACATCAATTATACAGCATGCTGTACAGTAGATTTCAACATAATAAATCATTAAAATCATTTTGTTAGAGTATGACCTAGGTGGTTAACATGGCTCGCGTTGACCTGGATAATTGTGAGGTCAAGTCACAGAGAATGTCAGCGACTGAAGTGGACGTATGTGTGGGGAGTGTCCAAAGAAGCCATCAGGAGGTGTAACAGCCATTTGAATATATGTTCGCACATTGACTACACCTTTAATGACAACACGTATGACAAACACTGGCATTGCATCGCATTCTCGGGTACTGGTGGACAGGCTCTGGTGGACAGACTCTGGTGTCGAGCATTCTAAAAATTCAATCATTATTTTCATAATAAAGTTAATTAATTTTTTAAACAATTAATTTTTCTATTCATTTTTAATGACATTCAGTTAATACATTTATGTTTGAATTGCTATCAAATGATTAATGATTTGAGTCAAATAAAAATTTCCAAATTGCATTTTATTTTACTTTTACATATATACTTTATTTTTTTATTAATTACATATGATAACATTTACTTATATTACTATTAATTTTTAATAATTTATTTAATTTTTATTTTTAATCTTGTTTAAATGATAATCAATTTATCAAAATTAATAATATTTATTTATAATTTTATTAATGGTTAATTAGTTATTATAAAACAACTTTATTTTTATAGATAGTTTAAATTGCGTTCAAAACGTATTACAATATTTTCACATGCCATTTTAATTATAGCACTTATTAATAAAGTTAATCTTTCCAATGCATACAATGTGTTTAAATATCAATTCACTAATTAGGATAACTATTGCAACACAATATAAAACTAAGATTTTTTGCATAAGTATTTGCAGTTCATTTAAAGACCATTGGAATGATTCAATTGATATTATATTCGTTCTGTAAAAGTGAATGTCCTTGTTAAATAATTGTATGTATAGTAACCATGTCCAATGATTTATTAAACCAGCTTTTAATATATCCAAAATACTTTAAATAAATAATTATTATAAGATTTTCATATTAAAAGTATTAATCATTAATTTTATAAATTATTTACAAATTGTTTAAGTGTTGAGTATATTTTGATTGTTTGTGTAAAGCCATTGTAATCATTTCCAATGCAAATGATGTATCGATTGA